TGGACCCAGGTAAAGAAGACGTCAGAGAATAGAATAAAGTGGAAATGTGTTGTTGAAACCCTATATTACACTTGGAACCCAATGAAACAATAATAATAACGCCTTCGTTCCGTACTGAAAATCAGATGGCTGATCGGAATAGATAATTAACATGAAATCACCAATCAATCAACAAATAGACAGAAAAAATAGAATTGGACTGGAGAAATACTGAGCAGACCGTTGAATGGCATCACAAAACAGGCCCTAGAGTGGAGGCGGGATGATAAATCGCTAGTTAGGCGTTCGAGGATGTGTGAAGAGCTGCTCATGAAAGCTTCTTGGTAATCCTGGAACAAGCTGAAAAAAGACTTTAGAGAAAGGGGTGAAATGGAGATGTGCTTCTGAAGCCGTATGGTCTACTTGAAATCCAAGGGAATTATAATACTAATCTTTATGGTGTAACTGTAAGGATTTCGTCGTTCTACTTCGAGGTAAAATCTTCTGTGATAATTCCACAATGGTCTAAAAATCGCTACTTTAATATTTTGCTTTGCTTGAATTTGAATATTGATAGACCAAGGAGATCGAAAGTCATCGATTTTATCATGGTATTACTTTGTTAACCATAGCTGAATACTCTAAAAGAGGTAGTCATTAAAAATGGCTACCCTGAATGCTTTATCTCAAAATCTATGAGGCTCATTCCACCAAAATAACATATACACGCACTTTTCGTTCCCATAAAGCCTTCCTTCTGAGTCTGAAATTATGTGGAGACTCATCGGTAGAAATACCAAGAAACCAAAGAAAACAATCTTTTTGCAGCTGAATTTTGGATTTACTGCTTTTGCAAAACCAATGACTCATATAAGGGTGGGAGATAAGCGACCTTTACGGGCCTCATCTATGTGTATCTAACTCTCATAGGGAAAGGTTTACCACTTGTACTCAGCTTTCACTATCCAAACGTATCATTGAATGTTTACCCTCATGGTTTTACGGAGGGGGGATTAACGTCCCTCTTCACAGCCCTATCCTGGACACCGAACAAATTCACAAACCAACTTCATCTATAGAGTACTCATAAATCTTACTGAAGTAGTAAGAATCAAACTTCTACAAACTACAGAATCTATGACAACCAACACGATAAATCCTGAACTCGGTAAACAGAAGAAAATTTGTTCAGTCGGTGAACCAACAGCATTCTATGCGTAGCTTTGTTTTGAATCTAAACACTACTTTTTTAATTACCTTCACATTTACCGGTGATAAATTTTTACTGTTTATGACGCCGGCTATAACTTGACCCTCTTTCAACCTTGGATGAGTTCCAAGGAATCCCAGTAAGCATGTTACGTCAATCAATTCACTTATGTAATTCTAGTTTCTACTCGATTAATGCTTTCTGCACTGTGGAACTACTGTCTAAGGATATTTTTATTAAAGCTTGATTCCACACAGTATATTTTATACAAGTATGGAATTTTCAGCATGTGATATCGGTAGTCCAAATTTAGCTGGCCGACCATCGATATCAGGTGTGCGTCGGCAGGGAATTGAATCCCGGACCATGTGAATGGTCGGCGAGCGTCCTAACCACTGTACTACCGTCAGTATTAATGACACGATTATGGAAACAATTTCCGCTGCCATAAAACACTCCCATATACATGGGATAAAATCAAAGGGTTAATTGCAAACAGTAATTCTCATACAAATATCAAATTTTCAGTTTGTAGAATAGTGTAGGATCCACTTTTCTCACCACAAGGATAATATTTTAAACAGAGGCATCTACAGTGATAATATTGTCATCGAAGAATATGAAAATAAAATTAAAGTTACTGTGAAAATATTAACGGCAGTATAATAAAGAAAGAAGAATGAAAAGGACCATTAATGCTGTGTTTCTCAATAAACCAGTAGTCTCATGCCCACACATTTTCCACTACATAAAATGTGTGCCAACTAAGGTGTTGTGGAGTGTTTCTAATTAGTCATCCAAGCATCAAGTCGTCTATAGTCGATTCTAGTCACACCTGGTGAGATGCAAGCAGACAGTTGTGTGTTGGGAGGATGCTGAGCGTCCGACAAGATGATTTTCCCTAAATTTCTCATATGAGTCCATGTATCTATCTACAACAGTACTGACAAGTTGATTCAGCAACACCCCATCATTCAGTACCCTTCACAGTGAAACAAAGCCTTCCTCAAGTAGCCTAGGAAAGATTAACGGGTAAGGGAGCAATAGAGAAGGATAGATAGGTAGGTAGAGTATACGAATCAATAAACTGTAAGTGTAGAAACTGAGTGACACCAGATTCTCTCAACTTCCTCACGTAGAACTTCGAACGAAATATCTTTCTAGAAACTGAAATGATGTTGGAAGACGAGGAAAGATGATCAGGGGAAATACAAAATCCAAATTCATTAAGGGGAATAAATGTATGAAAATCCAAGATATTTAACATTCGACATAGTTTCAAATTCAGTGTCACCTATGACAGTAGAATTATGAGAATCAACCAGTTCATGTGTCTGAAAGTGAATCAGCAAGCTGACATTTAGAGGCATTTATCTTCTCACCAGTTGACAAGGACATTCTGATTTAAAAGTAACCGACATTGGAACAGTTAGATTATCCGCATACCTAACAAAATCGACTTCGTCAGCTTGTGTTACAGTAAGCTTGTTCAAGAAAAGAGGCCTATGTACAAAGTTAAAAGCAAATAAGTAATCGATAAAAGTACAGCGAACATATTCGGCACTTCTGTCTACATTAGAGACAGTATTTTTGTGTAGGACTACAGTGACATCTAAAGCCCACCGACTGTGTTTATTAGCCAATTGTAAGGATCATTAAAAGCATTCAACGAGAGTTACAGATTACGTAGAAAGGAGTTCCTTCATTATTTTACAAAATGGTGAGGTAATAAAACTAGCTGTAAGCTTAACACTTGATTCACTTGATGATTTAGGCACCAAAACAATATCCCTCCAAGAAGCAAGCAAAATTTTAATGGGAAGAGATTTATTGAAAATACCAATTGGAGGATAACAGAAAATGTCCGCAGATTTATCTTAAGAGGAGGAGGATAGCTTCCGTTTCGCTCTTGGCTGGATGCCTCCTTTTTAAAGTAATTTAGATTGTATTTGGGTTTGGGAAATTATGACTGGAACTGTGGTTACGCTTAAACTCACTATTCTAAGTGATTCATTCACTTGTTATATTTACGCCGTCTGTTTTAGCTTTATAAAGGCTTGACTACGGATTAATATCGGATGGAGAAACACTGAAAACCAGGGAGTAGTGGACAAACAGTTGTTTCTTCCTAGTTTTGGGCTCATCGGGTCTACTCACTGACCGGTTTTCGAACCAAGATCTTTCCGGTTACAAGTTAAGCTCGTGGACCATTCAACAACTAGGACGTGACACATTGACCCATGAATTTCGAGTTCTGCCAATTCATGATCATAGCGGGATTGTCAGCAGCCAATGTCATCAGTGAGCATTCGTCCCCACTTCCGAACTGCTGGTTGACTCACTGATCACTAGTTCCCACTAAAACTTCAGAAAACCTCGTCCCATATCCAGTCACTAATGAGCATCAGATTAATTTTCAAGAGTTTAAGACTCATCCGCATTAGGCACGCACGACCCCATCCGGAAGAAACAGCTATCCAGTACTCCTTGATTTAAGTAGTTTTATATCTGGCATCACTTAGTAGTCATACTTGAAGCAAAGTGATATCCTTACAAACTAACTATCGAAAATTTGTACAAGCTACAAAAATATTTGTCGTTATAACTAGTATTTTATAGACTTCTGTGTAATATAAATTCGTCTCCCACTTTTGAATGATAACCGACATGCTTTTAAAAATATTGAGCAGAGAATATTTTTTTCGACTATTTCCTCTTCCGACTCTACAGTTATGTGTATATATGCTTATTTACATAGAATATTCTAGAATATTAGTGTTTTTTAAATAATATCAAATTTTTAAGTAAGACCAATGAAATTATAGTTTACGAAAGAAACTTAAGTTATAATAAGCACAAAAATTTAATACCAAATAGAATATCAAATAGAATTAAGGAAATTTCCAGTTCAAATTTAGGATCAATAGAAACTTGATGGCCAGGGTAAGGAAAGAGTCTGAACCGACTTCTTTCGGATACATAAATTAGGTTTCTTAATGTAGATCCCAACAGCCAGAGTCAGCAACATTTAGTAAACGAAATCTTAAGGCGAAGTTAAGATTTGTTAGCATGCAATGGATGACTTTGAAAGCCACCTCGTTGACATCAATCTTGTGTTCTGTATCCACGAAATGAGAGAGGGTAAAGCTATGAATGTATTTTGTTCATTCCTTGCTTAACCACTCTGCAGAATGGTGTCCGGAAATCGACAATAAACATACCTAATTGTACGGTCTATGTGACTGGCTCCACAGAAGCAATCAACCTGATAGATATACACACAATGGGAGAAATTAGACAGTTTGTCTGTGCTCAATTTTTCTGCTAAATGTCTGAATAAATATTTTGACTACATCAAAATGTTTTTTGTCTCGGTGGCATAGCGGTTAGGACGCTCGCCGACCATGCACATGGGACGGGGTTCGATCCCCGGCCGACACAATCCTTTACCTCGCTAAGCCAGAAATAATGCTGGTGAAGAGGAAAGGTTGGGTATGAGGCTAGTAACTCCATCCTGTAAAATAAACACTGCTACATAAACTTCAAGCCACTAGCTTGAGGCCCTATGTTTCACTGGGAACGTGAAGGAAAAAAAGTGTTTTTGGTGTAACGTATTAGATAATAACATTATCCCAACGGTTGTATATCGGTGTTTCAGTGGTAGGGTTCTCAACAGTAACATGAAAAGCTTCTATTTCATTCTAGGTCAACTCTTTTCAAAACCTCAGCTGAAACATTAAAGTTTCAAGCACCAATGCGTATGTTCCATTGAGAAAACAAGGAATGGGAAAATGCTTAGATTTATACTTACCATTTCACGATATTTTCTCTTTGAAGCATCAAAAGATTGTATCAATGCAGCAGCATGACCAACAAATAATGCATAACATGTAGCCCCTGTCATCATACTAATAATAGTGATCCATGCTTCAGGCAGTGAACTCGGTGGATAACGTCCATAACCAATTGAAAGCATATGTGAAAGTGCTTTGAATAGTGCCCATGTATACTGTTCAAACCAGTAAGCATTCTGTGAAATAAAATATATTGAAAAGATAGAATTTATTTACATTCGAATCAGCATTTTTTATTGACCTCACTTTTAATACTTGTACGCCTATATGGTTACTTATTTCAATATTTCTCTAGGAACTCAGTGATATAGAACAGATTGTGGTTATGAGCCACACTTACTTTGTGAGGAAAAAAGATACTAATCGGTCGTCTAAAGTGAAATAGGTTCAAGGGGATTCGACCCCATAACCAAATGTTTAAAAGTTGAGGGCTGAAGCTAGTAAGCTATTTGTATTTTATCTTTTATTATTATTCCCTCCATTTCACCCCCTTTTTGAGGTCCGGTACAGCTGGCTTAACGATCTCCTAAATGTCACACTTGGACCTATGTTCGTCTCGACGTCCCTCATTTGGTTTCCACTCGAGCGATGGCATGGAGCGCGATGTCATTCAACTGTCTCCTCAAAGTGTGTTTTGTCGACCTCGTTTCTCTTCAGGATATTTGTTGACGAATACGTTTTTGGTTGGTTCGTTACCATAGTTTCCTGCTGTTAATCCATTCTACCCATGTGATCTTCAATATGGGGCCAGTGAATGAAGCTGCTAATAAGTCTTCTGAAGCCTGTTCGACATGCTTTTCATAAGGTACCAAGTTTCTAAACCCCACAGAGGAATTAACTGACTTGACATTAGTGTTGAAAATCTGAAACTTGTTCTTTGTGATGAGTTCAGAAAATCTCCAAATTGATTTCAGAGTGATGAATATGTGTTTTACTTTTCCGATTCTTTGTTGATTTTGATGACTTAATTTTGTTTGTTTGCCTGTTCTTTAATTGCTTATAATTCTTGTATGCACTTAGAACTCTTACATAATTTCGTATTCTCTACTTCGTTCTTATGTGTATCCTGAGTAGAATTCAATCATCAAACTATCCATATTATTACATAACTTCTTTTTTAACAAGTGTTTGTGACAATTCATCACCTTTGTTACTACCCTAATTTCATTAAAACCTAATTTTCTTGACTGATTTTGTATTGCGTAACTCCAATTACCAATCTTCACCTGTTTAGTTAAAATAACCATAACCAATTGTATTTTTGTTTGACAAATTTAATGTACACACACATACAAAACAACCATATATGTCAGCTAAGAAAATGAATTCGCTGAAAAAACTCTTCGCTGAACTACGTGTTTTGTTTGGTGTTGAAATCGTTATCCGTACTGACTTGTCTTTGTTGCTTTTTCTTTCAAATTGTTGGTCATCAGCTGTAAGTCTTCTGGTTTGTGTGGTGTTATATTATTATTATTGTTCCTTTGGGTTCCTAGTGGAATATAGGGCTTCAACTGCACGCCTCCACTTGCTTCTGTCTTCTGCTGTACTTTTCACTTGCATCCATGTTAATCCATATTGTTTCAGTTCCTCATCACACGATCTCCTCCATGTCACCCTTGCACGTCCCACTCGCCGCCGCTTCCCTTTCGGGTTCCACTCGAGCTATGGTCTGACGCGCGATGTCACCCAACGGCCTCCACAGCGAGTGTCCAATCCATCTCCACTTTCTCCTGCATAGTTGTTGAGCGATTGGTTCCTGTTTTGTTTGTTCCCAAAGTTTCTTGTTAGTGATTCTTTCCGGCAGCCATCTGATCTTCAGTGTAGAACGAAGGCAGTTGTTGATAAAGGTCTGCAACAGGCTGTTGGAAATATTCTTTGTGACCCGCCAAATTTCTGATCCATATAGAAGAAGTGACTCGGCGTTTGTATTGAAAATCCGAATTTTGTTGTTGATGCTGAGTGACGGAGATTTCCAGATTGGTTTCAGGTTGATGAATGTGTTTCTCGCCTTCCTGGTTCTCGATTTGACATCCTCGTCCGTTCCTCGTGCTGTAGTTGAGACAATGCTCCCTAGATAAGTGAAAGAAGTAACCTGTTTCAAATCCCTCCCGTTGGTGGTGATTGGCGCTGGATGTTGCTGCTGTTGTTGTTGTTGTTGGTTGGTTATTTTCATAACCTCCGTCTTGTCTATGTCCACCTGGAGTCCTGTGTTTGCTGCTTCTTTGACCAGTTTGTCGGTTTTCGCTTGTAAGTCTTCGATTCTGTGTGACATCAAACATAAGTCATCCGCGAAATCCAGGTCTTCTAGGTTCTTCACGTATTAGGCATAAATAATCTGAAAACTATAGATATTCTAGAATCTTCATATCGGTTCAACGTATTCCTGACTTCTCACCTCCCTCCCAACGTACGGTGTCCTGCACAGTCCAGTCCACCACAAATAGATATATCGTCAGTTATAGTATGCAGCAGGCTTATCTCACTGCCGCATTTACTTCAAAAACTTCTCTGAGTTTTACTTCTTAGATAACCTGACATGTGGCATTGTTGTATAGCTGCAGCACACCATGTTGTTAAAGTATATTCCAAATATGTATGATATCTAAATAAGGAAGAACACTATATTCAACGAAGAGACTCTTTTCAACGAATTTACAATCGTGTAAATATGGTTTTTAAGGAATTATATCCAGTGCGGGAATTACATCAAAGGTGTGCATACATGAAATAATAGTAATATTATGAAATGCAATTAAAATATTTGTGATTATAATCATAGTTTAATGTCAAGTGGCAAAATAATTAATGTCGTATATAGAACAATACATAAGGTGTATAGATGTTGGAAAGGGGTGCATGATTATAGGATTAGGAGGCTAATATAAAATGTTATATAACATGGTGTGAAATTTGGTAAGATAGAATTCAATATTGTAAAAATAAGAAATAAAAATTAATACTTTTTGGTTTAGAATGACAAGTGGGACAAGTGGAAAGAATTCAGAGTGCGAATAATAATAATCGTAGTAATAAGGAAAAGGTACATGGAATAACTAAATAAACAAAATACATAAATAAATAAATGTCTTTCCCTCTACGGCCAAGGCAGAAGTAGGGATTGTACATACTTCTTTTGTACACAAAGGTCTGGCTTAAAGTCATGAATGGCCAAGGCCTCCACTGTCTTTGGAAGTCTGTAACGAAGAAAACGTGGTAAGTTAGTATGGATTCGGTAGATGATCTTAAAATCATGCTTGGGGTTGACAGAGTGACAGGAGTCGATCAGGTGTTCTAGAATACAGCTTCTCACACACTTTCTTTCTCCCGTGTAAAACCATGCTGGAATATGTTCTCGTATCCGTTTGGAAAGCGTCCTCTGGCCACAGCCAATGTACGTTGCTCCACAAGAGGAGCGGGTGAACTGATAGATGCACATGTAGGCGGCCAGACGGGGAAGCTTATCTTTTACAGAGATGTAGAACAACTTGCGGCTGGTGAACGTCATATGTAATTTTGCTGCAAGAAACTGATTGCTTTAGAGAGACGGTTTTTGAGCATATCTGAAGCTTGATCAGCTTTGAATTCCAAGTTCATGAATAATGTTTTCTTTGTAACTGAGTCGGTGACCAGTTTAGACCGCTTATTTTTCGTGTTACTGTCAATAAATCGGTTTGGGTAACCGTTTTCTGCGAGCATGGCTTTTAGTAAGTCAAGTTCTGAGTCAACGCAATCAGAATTACAAATGTTTCTTATACTAAAGCAGAGCGAATGAATTAGGTTCCTTTTCCTGTAGATAGGCACCCAACTATAAAAATTAGTTAGTTGTCCGTTCCATGTACGTTCCCGGTGGATGGATCTTTTGAGAGATCCGTCATTACGTTTACTAAGGCACACATCAAGAAAAAGAATACTTAGTTCAGATTCCTTTTCTATAGTGAATTGTAAAGAAGGATGGCATTTGTTGAAAACAAACAAAACATCATCAAGAATTACGTTCTCATCGCAGACAACGAAAGTGTCGTCCAAGTATCGTTTAAAAATGTCGAAATGATTGATGGTTTGACTAAGTTGAGAGTTTTCAAGCTTTGCCATAAAACAATCAGCCAGCAAAGGACCCAGTGGTGATCCTATGGCAATGCCATCTCTCTGTCTAAAATCTAATTGTTGAAGGTGAATTGAACATTCGGCGTGCATTTCAATAAAAGTTCTTTAAGGTAGACTGTCGGCAACCACATTTCTAAACTATATGTATCAATATAATCACAAATATATCAAACAGCTTCCATAAGAGGTACACTGGTAAGTAGTGAGGTCACATATGATGAGAACATGACTCTATCTGAGACATTAAAATCTTTAATACTCTCAATAAATTTAAACGCATCATCTATATAATTTATGACATTTATTAATGAATGGGCATACTATGCTGGTATAGAAGGTACAGCAGAAAAAGAACAGAATTTTAACACGCTCAACTTACCTGTAAACGTGCTTTACTAACCCAACTGTCTACAGGGAAATCCATTAACATTGGTACAAGAAATTGTAAACATGCATTCCAATGGCCTAATATCAACATGATCAGGACTAGATTACATATTCCCATGAATTTACTTGCAATATTGATGAACTTCAGTGAAAAAAAGAGAAGAGAAGGAATAAAGGAGGTAAATGAAACATGAAAACAACAGGGTGGATTAATTTTCTAATGAATGTGTCACTGTTACCTCATCATTTTTAAAAATAATGGATAAACTGCTTTTACTCAATCTGCAACCTCCATTGAAGGCTTTTAATGATCTTAAACTATTTGCTTATAAACAAAGTCGGTGTGCTTTAGATATCGCTTTCGTTTTATATCATAATATTTTCCACAATTTAGACAGAGGTGCCAAATATGTTCACTGTGCTCTGTATTTAGGCCTCTTTTGTTGGAAAAGCTTGCTGTGACACAAGCTGATGAAGCCAATTATGTTAAGTACGGGGATAATCTAACTGTTTCCATGTCAGTTACTTCTAAATCATGCTTCCTCTTTCATCTAATGTAATCTTCTTTGTGTCACCCTCGGACACTATACTGGTTGTTTCCTATTCATGTTCTACTCGAGGGTCATATGAATGTCTCCTCGGAGTACAGGCTGTTGGCTGGTTAGCTACTTGTCAGAGTTCCTTTTTGCCTGCCTTCTCTGGCTGGCCATCTGATCTTGACTATGAAGCGAAGACTGTCTACTGCTCAATAAATGTGCAGAAAAAAGTATCGATGGACCGGAATAACGCTGAGCAGATTATCGCGTTACCTAGCTAGCCAGGCTAGTGCTCAAGTGGAATCCAAATGGGAGGGGACTATTTGAACCTTATTCTAAGGTTGATATAGAGGAGATCGTGTGAAGAGTGGATGAAGTCTTATAGGCAATCGTGGAGTCAGCTGAAGAGGACAGCAGAGAAGGAGACGAAGTGGTGGTATGATGCTGAAGCCCTATTTTCACTCGCAACTCTAGAGAATAAAAACAATCAATCAAAAGTGTCAATTAAACACATATATACGTTTGTTAGATTAACATACCTCTTCCCATTGAGTAATATAACGAACTAAGCGTGAAAGACGTAGCAGCCTTAACAAACTTAGAAGTTTTGCTAATCGTAATATTCGTAATGCACGACCTGTACGGAAAGAGAAAAAATGAGAAAAAATTGCTTATTTTACTGTTTTATTCACATTCTACTCTTTTCAGTTGGTAAGTATTCTCAATTATGTAACCTCTGGTTAGCTTCGTAAAGAAAAGCATAAAATAAATGAGCTGCACTCAATTCTGATTTTCCCGTTGATTGATTGGATAGAAATGTTGGCTTCTTGTGCGGACACATCGACGATGTTTGAGGATTAACATGAAATAATTTGGTGGATTGTGACTAGCAGTAGAATCCAAACTGTGTGTTTCGTCCTATTTGGGGACGCACCTCCATTCACCAGTGAGCGATGGTGTTCCAACTGAGACTCAGACCTAGTAGCCATTGTTTCAAACGCCGAAGCATCATCCACTAGACTGCTTCGGCCACAAGAGCCACCTTCTGGACAACAGGTGTCAGTTACTACTTGTCTCTGATTCTTCTGTTGATTGAATGAGGAAAACTGTCACGGCCTCTCATAGCCAAAGTGATCTAGTGGCTAACGTTTTGGCGTTCGAAACGAAGGGCAATAAGTTTGAGCCGAGGTCGGGACACCATCACCTACTGGGGAGTGCAGGTAGGTCCAGTGACGAGTCCATTTCTAGTCGCCAATCCACCAAATAGGCTGAACGATTTGACTTTAGTATAGTTTCGAAATAGATGGAAGTTAGTGATTAGAATCTTGTGCGTCAAAAGTTAAAAGTATTTATTTATTGAAGATATTTCCATTCCAAGTCATAAAGACTGCAAGAAAGAAAATCTGTGAGGAAAATGCAATACAATCCATTAGGAAAATATGCACCTATTTGAAAACAATGCGAAGATACGACAGAACAGAATTATATTAGGTATCTTAAAAAAATAGTTGAAAAAGTATATTCAGATGACACTACACGCTGGACAATAGAAAGTATGTATTTTTGGATCGGCTGCTGAAAATTAATCAAAATTCACAACTCTTCACTACATTCCCAGCAGCTTTTTATGCTTTGTTCAAATACGTGTAAGAAAATCTAAATGGCCTTGAAGAATAAGCCAGATGCAACTACAAACGGTATTCCTAATTGTGGTTGATTGAATTACGTGGAAGACTGCGTGTAGGGAGCTAGAATACAGGAATACATAGGATTGATAGGAAGACTCTATAAGATCTGGATTCGTCGGATAATTTCTGGCTCATGTCACACGAACTCGAAGATTTGCAAGCGGAAAACAACAATTTGGAAGAGGACGGAGTGAAAAATACAGGACTTGAAATGAACAAAAAGAAGACGAAGCTGTTGAAGATAACCAACCAACAAAAGCAACAGGAAGCACCAATCAGCATCAACCCGATATATCTGAAGGAGGACACTTCCTCCTTGTTCTTGCAATTAAAGGCAGTCAGCAGGGATGAGGATGTAAAAAAGAGAACAGGAGAGGCAAGATAGACATTCGTCAATCCGAAATCGGTTTGGAAATCTACTGCACTCAGCACGAAAAATGTAATTCGGATTTTCAACACCAATGTTAAGTCAGTCATTTCTTCTATATGAGTCATAAACTTGGAGAACACGTCACGGAAAACCCTACAAACAGAATTTTTCCGACTTTATCAACAGTTTCCTTCGTCGCCTTCGTAATGCAGATCAAACGACCACCCGGAAGTGGTTATCAGTGATAAACTGTGGCAGCTCGATCACCGAACAAAAACGTGTTGTTGAACAAATATTCCAAAGAAAGTGGAGATGGATCGGTCACATTCTGAGGAGACTATCGAATGACCTATCGCGCCAGACCGACAAGTGCAACTCTAATGGGAAATGACGAGTTAGGAGTTGGTCCGAGAGTAATGCGGAGATGATCACGTGATCAGGAGGTGAGAGACTATGAGCCATCTTGGATTCAGCTAAAGAGGTTCACAGAAAACAGGTTTGAATGAAGATTTGCTACTGAAGCCCTATATTCAACTCAGAAACCAAGGGGACCGGCAAGCAGAAAAACTTTACCACCTTCATTAACTATTCTTTCGCATATCCTAAGTCAATATCTATTAAAAAATACTGTCAGTTTCAATTGTACTACTTGTCACTGCTCTTTTTTAAGTAGTATAGTTTACTATTCGTAAAAAACATGAAGATGTGTGTGTGTGAAACAGTATAAAGCATGAAGTGATTAGACGAATGGCATGATTCTATCCACTTATTACGTGTTTGAATTCATCTACTGTTTTCTTATTTTTGTCCTGTTGTTCTCGCTATCCTAAACTAACCAACTAACTCAAGTACAGATTTATCAGGCATTCGTTTTCTGTAATTACTGTTAGTATTTTTATATTCATTAGTAAACAATTTGACCTATTTATCTGAAATCATCAAGTACACTTTTACAAGCTTTACACAGAAAACTCGATGTGTTTTCGTGTGTTCATACTTGTCAGATTTATAGGACATATGGTTTAATATGAGGAAAGCCGAGTTGAACAGAAATAAAAAAAAATAGTGTTCTGACACGTAATCTGAAGCATTTTGTCTCTATAAAGGTTAATTACGACGTGGTTAATAACTATTGAAGATAAAAATGGCAGCGATTTTGCATCTTTTTCTTGTGTTGTGGAAAATGGACAAAGTTTTAATGTCTTATTGGTCGATTTCTGTTTTGCTTCTATAAACTAGGAATATGAGAAAATCTTTCGTGGTTAATGTCTAAAACTGTAGCAATAAACAATATGAAGAAGAATCTTCGTAATTGGGGGGTGGAATTGTGGGTTAGTTAGGGAACTTACATAATTATCTTGAAAGCTGATGATGAATATAATCTCTAAGAATAAAAGATATTATTATTTTTCCTTTGAATTCCTAGTGGAACATAGGGCTTCAGCAACACATCTCCACTTTGTCCTATCTTCTGCTGTCGTCTTCACCATGGACCACGATTGTTTACAATCTCTCATCTCCTCCTGGCATAATCTCTTCCATGTCACCCTCACAAGAACGACCCATTCGTCGCTTTCCATGTGGATTCCACTCAAGGGCTTTGTGTGCGATGTTATTCGACGGTCTCCTCAACGTATGCCTAGTCAGTCTCTGTTTTATCCTACATATTTGTGGAGTAATGAGCTCTTGGTTGGTTTGTTCCCCCATTTTCTTGTTACTTATTCTTTCTGGCCAGCCATTTGATCTTCACTATGGAACCAGCAAAGGCAGCTGTTGATAGAAGTCCGCAACCTGTTGGAAATCTTTTTCGTGATACGTTGGTCAAGTGTCTGACCCGTATAGAAGAACCAACTTCACATTAGTGGTGTAAATGCGAATCTTGTTCCTTACACTGAGTGCAGAAGATTTCCAAACTGGTTTCAGGTTGACGAAGGCGTGTCTTGCCTTTCCGATTCTGGCTGGTTGGTTCTGACATCTTCATTCGTTCCGCCTGTAGTTGAAACGATGCTTCCTAGATAAATGAAGGACGTAACCTCTTTCAAACCTCTCCCGTTGATGATGATTGGTACTGGTTGCTGACGTTGTTGTGGTTCGTTGGTTATCTTCATCACCTCCGTCTTCCTTGTGTTCACATGGATTCAGTCCTACCATCGCTGCCTCTTCAGCAAGTTTCTTGGTTTTCGCCTGCAAGTCTTCAAATTTGTGTGACATTAGACATATATCATCCACACGCGAAATCCAGATCTTCTAGAGTTTTCTTATCGGTGGTCAAGCTTACTCCCGTCTCCTCACTCCCCACAGTCTGACGCATAATCCAGTCCACCACAATTAAGAATAAAATCGGTGATAATAGACAGCGTAGTCTAACTCCTAAACATGTAGTGTGAATCATATATTACTCTGTTGTTATTGTTTCCTTGAATTCAGAGTGAAACATAGGGCTTCAACAGTACATCTCCACTTTTTCGATTTCTCTGCAGTCCTCTTTAACTAGCTGCAATATTGATCATCAGTTTTTATCCCTTCCTCACAGGATTTCCCCCATGTCACACTCGAACAAAACCCAGCCCGTTGTTTCTCATTCGGAACTGATGAGGATATCAAAGCGAGGATGAGGAAAGCAAGGCAAGCTTTCATTACTCTCAAGTCTGTGTGGAAATCAACAGCACTACTCAGCATGAAAAATAAGATCCGGATTTTCAACTCCAATGTGAAGTCAGTGCTACTATGTACGGATCGGAGACTTGGTGCCTCACGGAGGGCACTTCGAACAAGCTACAGACCTTCATTAACAGCTGTCTTTGCTCAGTCTTACTCAAGATCAGACAGCCAGCCAGAAAATATCAGCAACAGGGTGGGATCTTTGTCAATGAACGAACTGACCCAGCAGGAACCAATTGTGCAAGAAATATGCAGGAAGAAATGGAGTTGGATTGGGCACACTCTGAGAAAACAAACCATCAAGTGACATCACACGGCAGGCCATTGCTCGAGTGGAACTCGACCGAATGGGAAGCGGCGAGTTGGTCGTCAGTGCGAGGGTGACATGGATGAGGAAAAGAAGGTGATGCGAAGAGGAGATGAAAGCATATGGGCAGACATGGAGCTAGGTGAAAGCGTTGGTGGAGAACCAAACGCAGTGGTGACGTGCGGCTGAAGCCCTATGTTCCTTTAGGAATTAAAGGAAACAATAATGATAATATAATTATGCTCGTACGGTAAAATATAAAAATTCTACCGTACCACATGTTTAACATGGGTTTTATGTGAAAAGAGAAAATGTCAGAAAGGAGCTTATAAACTTTAAAATCAGTAAATAAACACCAAATCATAACCAGAGTTACTATTATTATTATTATTTGAGATAGAAACTGAAGAACAAAGTAACCTAACTGTTCTAGGTGTGTGAGCTTTCCGGTGGGACTTCAGAGCTCAGTTGCATATATAGCTGGCATGTAGGAGTAGACGGTGAAACAGGTGATCTCGCCACCAGGTCCCCGGAAATGACTGAAAGCTTCAAATGATAGGAACCATTAGATAAAGTCATCAGGCAGACAGCATGACAGACGGAGAGTGGAA